AAAAAACATGCTTTTTGTAAATCAACTACGTAAACTTTTCAGAGATATTTTGTTCATTTTAAAACTTCTCAGTTTTTCATAGATGTGTATTACGAAATCTATGCGGAAATATGTTATTATATATTAATGAGTATTATTGTGTGTACTTTGTATATTGTTATTGTATTACTATTATGTATTACTATTGTACTGCTATGCATTGTTATTGTATACTGCTTCTCAAATCTAAATTCAATCTATCTCAATCATGGAGAACAAACAAAGCAAGATTAACTATATTTTTTTTTTAATCAATCAATCTCCTGATCTTGGAGTAATTTCTCGTTGGAGTAACTCATAGAAGAGTGGCGACTTCAGATTGGGCTTTTTGATATTATTCAATATTATTATTGAATAATTAATTACAAAGAATAAACACCTAAATACTAATTAAATAAGCATATTTTTAATTACACAGTTCAAAATTATTCTAACCCACTATATTTTTAAATTTATTTTTAGTCAGTAGATGAATAGCTTTAAATTAATTAATAACATAATTATCATAAAATAATATTTAAAGTTTTATATAAATATAAGTTTATTAAAATATTTATTATAAAAATTTATATGATATAATAATAAAAAAGTTAAAATAAATTATTCTTTTTAGATATTTAATTGTACATAAAATTGATTTGTATGCAACTTAAAAATATTATTTCATATCATATTATAACGTAATTTATTTTAAAATATGAAAAACTCATATCCTTGAAATAACTACGTCATAACATCGATGGCATCATTAATTATTTTTATAGAATAGATTGGGTCTTCCCAATCTCCTTCAACATCGCAATAAAATCTTTAAGGCTTAATGGTCGTCCAATGCCAACAAGGCCCCTCCGAGCACTTTATTATAGAAGTTGGTTGAATGAAGCATTTGAATATGAAGAATGGAGTGCTTTTAAATTTGATTTGAACAACAAAATAAATGTGATATTGTTTTATATTTTCTTGTTTGAAAAATATCTTATCAATGCATCATTTTGTGACCACTAGTCTTTGTAAAATATTTTTTTTTCTTTTATTTTAAAATATTATTTAACTAAATATAACTAGTATTTGTAAAATTATCTTTCAACAATTATTTAAGAAAATTTATATGTTAAATTCTTGTGAAAAATAAATCATGTGTACACATGCGTTTATGAAGTACATGTGATAGCACACATCAACAATATACAACAGTAGATAGTAATACACATCAAAATATATAACAATAATACATAACAGTAAACAACAACAATAAATTATAATACATAGTGATATATAATAATATATACGTAGCATCAAAATGAATAAAACATCACATAAATGAAAGAGAAAAAATGCATAATAATTATATTTGATGAAGAATAAATGATCAACAAAAAAATTTATCATTTTACATAAAAGTTTATATAGCTGATTTATAAAAGTATGTGTTTATCTGCATATAAATTTTTAATAATACATTCTAAGTGAATTTGTGTGAAAAATCACAAAAACACAAATCATTGCTTGCCAAATTAATTCTTGAATTTTTCTGTTGAAAATAAAGTTCAACAAATTTCACATAAAGTCTATATGAGAAAAAAATATTAGGAAATCAATACATACTTTACTCTTATATTTTTTTCTTCTTTTTAATGGCTTTGCAGTCAGAAACGACTCCAAATCAATCTTCATCTTCATCATTGATTCTCATTATTTTTCTTAATAGCCCAAACCTTATTTTATTACGCAAATACTAAATATCTACTTTAAAACATAGAAAATAAGTGGCGCGTTAATTTTAAAATTTCATAGTTAATAGGGATCGGATTATTGTGTTTTAAAATAATCATGTCTTAATTTAATTGAAATTCGAACGACAGAGTTCATACAAGAATAAATCCCCTCAACGATGAGCCTTTGGAAAAACTCTTGAACTACAAGGCCTTCAGTAATACTCCGACAAAACAAACAATCTATATTTTTTTTCTTTTTATAATTTTTTTTATCAATAAGTTTTCTTATTATTAGTTATTTGTTTGTTTTCTTATTTACCGCATTTTGCCATCTCCATCAACTATAATAATCATGATAGCCCTTGATACGGCATCACAAAAATTAGCTTGATCGGGCACGAATCTCGAGGCGAAAGCTAGTTGCAAACTTCAAAAATTAATTCGAGAGCACCCCAACTCCGATTTCAGCAAGCTTATAGTCGAACTGAGCATCTCGGAAATATGAACTTCAACGACACCAAATTCGACTCAATCCGAGCCCAAATGGGTCCGAATCATGGACCCGAAGTGTGTTGGAAGGTTCAACCGCAATTGAGTTACCAAACGGACTCCGATTTGACGAGTTTATACTCCGAATCGAAGGCTCGACGAGACGAATTCAACGAGCCAAGATCACAGAATTCACATCACTTAGACTTCAAATGTCCAATGTAACGGTGGCACGATCGTAGGATTCATATCGGCCGTCATTTGACCACTCCCTATTCGCCCCTGATCTCACACCTATTTACGGGTCATGCCACTCTAGAAATCCTATAAATAGAGGCCCTCATTTCTCACAAGAGGGGATCCAAGCAAGAGAGAGAAGAGAGAGAGAAGGAAGCGAGTTCCTCCTCGACAGCCGCCGGGCCACCGCAGAACCTCGCCGGACCACCGCCGACCCGCAGGAATCTTGTCGGACCACCGAGGAACCTCGCCGGACCACCACAAAACCTCGCCGGACCACAACCTTAAGGCCCGACGTTCATCCCCACGTCCTGCCAAAGACCGACGTCTTGTTCAAGGCCTGACACTCAGTCCCTACTTCCTTCCAAAGACCGCGATCTTGTTCAAGGCCGATGTTAAGTCCCGACATCCTGCTGAAGACCGACGTCCTGCTGAAGACCTGACGTCCTGCTTAAGACCCGACTCCTACTCAAGGCCAGACCATCAACATCCGATCTTCCAAGTGACACTTGGGACTAACCACCTGACTCCTTATCTCCTACCGCCTACGGTTCTTCTGGCACTGTCGCCTAATACGGTCCGTCCGACCTCCATCACCAGACAACGGTCTCCGGCCGACTACGGTCTCGGCCGACTACGGTCTTCGGCCGACTACCGATCTCTCCGGCCGACTAGGTCTCCTGCCGACTACGGTTTTCTGCCTGCCGACTACGGTCTCTGGCCGACTACGGTTTCCTGCCGACTACGGTCTCCTGCCGACTACGGTCCTTCAGGCCAAACAAACCTGTATATGTAACTCTTACCATGTAATGCAATCTATATGATGTACATTTGCTACATCAATCCAAGGCCTTCTCCTAAGGAAGGGCCTCATTTGTAATCGACTACAAATACTAGTGGATTCATTCAAACCGGGCCAGGCCCCGTGGTTTTTCCCCCTTTTTCAGGGGTTTTCCACGTAAAAACTCTGGTGTCACTTATGAATGCTACATCCTCTCACTTATCTGATTGTGTGCTGGATCTTCGTACAACGCTAAGACGTTAAACTATATATTTCTCTACCGCCGCGAATATTCCAGAACGCAACAGCCCTATTAAGGCCTCGTTTGATTAGGCTTATTTTCTCAATTTCCATTTGAATAAGTTATAATCAGTTCGTGATATCTGTTTGGAAGACAAATTTATCCGTAATTACTTTTTATAAAACCACGTATTTTGAGCGGTTATGAAATTTATTCAGCGACTGCTTCTCCGTTTAAAAAACACCGTTTTCCTGTCCAAATGTTCGAATTAACCCTCCTCCTTATGCGGATTGGGATCGCGAGCCAAATAAACTTTCGTTATTTTTTGCGCGTAGAAATTACGATTCGATTGCTTGATTTAAATGCTTTCATTACAACGAGTTAAGAGAGAATTCACAGGGCATTAACCAAACTTATTACACCACATCTATATACCCGTCTTTTATAATAAAATATCAAAAACAGAACTCCTAAACAAACAATTTTAAATTAACTTTCAAGTATTAATAAGCACTTTTAAAAATATTAGTCAAACATATCTTATTATTGAAACTCCATTTTATTGAACGGCTTTTTCTCAACCTCTTTTTCTAAAACTCCTTTTTATGTAAGCATAAACCGAATCAAACGAAGCCTAAGTATTTCTTGAATATAAAACAGTAATAAATCATGATCAAATCAATATACAATGTATTCAAATCGCAAAACTATTGCAACCGGTGTTGCTTAATTGACGGCAGCTTTGAAACTTCCATCAAGCATGAATCATTAATAAGTAAGATGTTATTGTATAAATCTAATTCCTTATTTAATAATTTTACTATATGTTAACATCTGGTTATATACATACTTTTAAAAGTAATATATAATTTCATCAATTCACTAATTAATTTTTTTATTAAATGATTATTTTATCATGTTTAAAAAAAACTATTTATTAAACAACAAATAAGTATTTTTACAAATATTTTCATGAATATAAATAAAAATTATAATATTTAATTTAAAAAAATAATGAGCCAAGATAATATATGGGGCAACTTCTTGTTTGCAATTATAACTAAAACAATTTAATTTCTACTTACATAAATGTAAATTCTTATTTCTTCGGTATAAAAGAGAATGCCAACAGAATTTTCGTAACGTAAAAAGAAAAATTATTACTTAACTGAATTTATTAAAAAAAAAAAAAATCAAAGAAAATAATGATAGAGAGAAGGAAATTTTAGAATCATTCCATTTGATTCAAATACAGCCAGATTTTCAAAAACCAAAATTATGGCTGCTTTGTTCATTCAAAAATAACTTTGTCAGATGATATAAACCAAAGATCAGAGAGCTTACAAGCATTTAACATACAAAGCCATAAGACGGTACAAGTTCCTTACAGAAACCAAAAAATTTCAGGGCTATTGAAGCCCCTGGTGTTCCAAACAGCTATGGAGTTAGGTTATTGAGATATGGTAGCTTGAGGGGGCGCCTTCTTGGCATTTTAGGCTCAGGTTGATTCTGCTTGTTGGGTAGAAGTATCTATTTGTGGAGCTGTTATAACAACAGTAGTTTCTATTGCAAGAGCAATAGAAGAGGCGATATCTGAACCACTTTGCAAGACTTGGATTTTGTTTGTAGCGGTGTTGGTAGAAATTTTTGGAGGTCTAAGGTTGTTTGCAGAGGTTGAAGATTTAGGTGGGGGACGACGAGTGCGGGATCTTCTCCTTGGCTTCCGATTTATACTCTTTCCACGAGAAGGAAGAGCAGCAGTGGAACTCTGTGATGGTTTAGTTGGGCAAATGTCCGCAGGGTGAACAAGAGAGTCACAAAACTCACACGGTGTAGGCTTCCATTCATATTGAACCTCAAGCATCATGGATTCTCCAACCAAAGAAATCGGGATGAGATCAGGTAACACAGACTTACTAGTCACTTCGATACACACTCTAGCAAAAGTAAGACGGGTTTTCTGAGCTGTAGGAGTATCCACCATTAAAGGGATACCTATAAAGCTTGCAATTTTGGATATACCATTTGGGGTCCAGCAACACAAAGGAAGGTCAAGTATTCTAACCCAAATAGGAATTGAAGAACATTCAACACGTTTAGGGTGGGGTGACCACTTTTGCAGGAAGAATGGCCACTCCAGGAAAAACCAGGGTGCCCCGGACAAAGCCATTTCAAAATCATCTAAGACAGAAAAACGCAACAGGAAAAAACCCTCACGTAGGGAAGTAAGTTGCAGATTACCCTTTAGAGACCATTTCTTACGCATTGAAGAGATGAGAGCCCCGTAGGTGGGGTAAGGACCGATTGTGTAGCCCACAAGCGAAAGGCCCGACTCTTCAGGTCCAGCAGAAACTTCTTTACCGGAGAAGGGAATGACATCTTCTTGAAGAGGAACAGAGGAGAGGGGAGAAGTGGCGGAAGGACGGGTTTCGGAAGCAGGGTTGGATAGGGCGGGGAAGTCAGTGAGAGAGGTGGAGGCCATGGGTGAAGCAGTGAATGGGAGGAGGGGAGAAGAACAGCAGAGGCGGCGAGGGAAAAATTAGGGCAAGTCTCGCGCTTCAAAGTTTAAACTCATTAATATATTTTAATTTTTCTTTAATCATGAAAGAATACTACCCGGGATTTGGGGTGACCTAATGACCATTGTTGCGGCCAGCTCCGCAATCCGACACCTGCTCCTTTCATTATATGCCACGTGTCTATTGAACGTCTCGCCGGCAACTGAAAAGCCCTTGGAAAACCAACATATTAGCTGTTGCATTAAATTTGAGTATATTATTATTTTATAATTATTTTTATTAATTAATCGTAATTACCATTAATTAACACAATCTGCTTACAGTTAAACTTGAAGTGTAAAATTGATTATAAAATTGCAGTCGTGAAAATCATTAACGTTTGAAATGACAGTAATTTAAAAAAAATAATTGTATTAAAAATTATTTCAATTAAAATTTAAATTAATTATTTTCATCAATGTAATTATAAAATTTATAATCACTTATAAAAAAATTATCGTGGTTCCAAACGGTACATTGATTTCATAGTTCAGAGAAGATTGATTTTTAAAACTTTAACGGAGGAATAATTAAAATAAGATAATTATATAAGATGTCAAGAAATCCGCATGTGAGAGGACGTCAGGAAATTCATTCCTTCCTTTATTTCGGTTAAGTTCAAGAAATTTGTTTTAATGGATTTTTATTTGGAGAACGCACTTAACGAAATCGGCAACCACAGTGATGTTCTCATGTTCAGTTGAGTTCCTGATGCTCTACCTCTCGAAAAAAATTGAGTAAGAAAGAGTTTCAATAAGAACCTTTTATGATAAGTAAATGCCAAAACAACTAGGACAGCTCTAAACCAGCTCAAGGATCGCAACATACAAACAACAAATCAATAATGGCCTCCTCTCATCTTAGCCATACACTTGTACTTCATCTATTAGATTCAAGAACTCGTCACACTCTATAAATAGGAATGTACTATACTGTTGAAAAGTAACAAGAAACATTTTCCTTTTTCATTTCTTGTCTTTGTTCTGTGAGTTCTGACATGGTATCATGGCCTCACTCTGGCTCGCAGCCCTTTCCAGTTCTTTCTAAATCCTCCGCAAAAACCAATGGATTCTTCTCCTTCTTCACACATCGGAGAAGACGACCAGGATAGCATCGCTATTCCTTCATCTTTAAAATTTTTGATCTCCAATATCAAGAATATTGTTCTTGTTACCCTTGCTAGTGACAACTACCCTCCTGGAAATCTCAAGTTCTCAAGTTCTTTAGAGTGAACAACTTTACCTCCTTCTTGGACCCATCAGTCGCTACTCCCCCTCATCTTGACGAACAACCTGATGGTGGCTCTACACTCAGCCAACGTTTCACCCACTGGCTGCTTATATATCAAAATCTTGTAGCAGCGCTGTGCTCGACCCTCCCTCCATCCATTCTCCCGTATGTACTTCATCTTGACTCATGTGCTGATATATGGATGACTCTTGAACATCGACTCCAGGCGACAAAACGTTCAAGAGTGATACAACTCAAGAACGAGCTGCACAATGCTTCAATGGGCCAATCTACGATGCTTCAATACCTCACCACGATCAAGACGCTGGCTGAAAACATAGCAGCAGCAGGTGCAACTATAGATCCTGAAGACACACTTTTTTACACCTTAAATGTTCTACCATCATCTTATTAGGCGTTTAAGACGTCGATCCGCACTAGTTTATTTCCGATCAGCCTTGAATATTTATACTCACTTCTTTTGAGTGAGGAAATTAACATTTCCACTGAATCTGTCAAGGAAGCCGCAGCTCCAAATATGGACACAACATTCTACTCGTATCGCAGCAGAGGACATTCTTCCTACAATTAAAATCATGGTAGAAACAATCGCTTCTCATCAAGAACACGACCGATCCTACCAATGCCGCAATAATTTGTCAAATCTGCGGTAAAACAGGGCATCCTGCAAACTCGTGCTGGCACTACCTCAATTTATAGTATCCCACTCCATCCACTCAGCAGACCGCTCTTGCAGCACCTTCGACCTAGTCCAATGTGAACTGTATTTTGGACACAAGTTCTTCATCTCACCTTAGCAACAGCATCGAAAATATTTTCCAACCTTCAGATTATCAAGGTAATGACTCAATCACTATTAGAGACGGTCGCCAACCCTCCATTGCTCACTCCGGTCCAGGTCTTCTACCTACTCCCTCACGTAAGCTCTTTTTATATAATCTTTTTCATCTACCTCAACTTTCATATAATCTTCTTTCTATATCCAAACTAGCTCAAGACAACAATCTTTCAATTCTATTTGATGCTTCAGGCTTTCAAATCAAGGATCAGATGAACAATTTAGTTCTTCTCTCAGGTCCGTGCCATGAGGGGATCAATTCCATATCACCAAGTTCTGAAAGTCATGCTCCAAAGACTACATTCTCAACCAACATTCCAGCATCTCTTCATTGGCACCATCACTTGGGACACCCACATCAACATAGTATGGCAACTATTTCAAAGTTGAATAAATATCAAGCTATTCCTACTTCCTTTTCGTTTTGTTCATCATGTAAGACCTCAAAAGGTCATAAACTTCCTTTCTTCCCTTCTCAAAATCATAAATACAAGCCATTTGATCTTGTTCACGCAGATGTATGGGGTCCGGTCCCTTTCTCATCAATGCAAGGTTATAGATACTATGTCTCATTTATTGATGACTCGTCTCGGTTTACATGGGTTTATCCCTTAATGCATAAATCTTAAGTATTCTCCATAATTGTTAAGTTTCATACCGCCATTGAAAAATAATTCACATTTACAATAAAATGCCTATGCAGTGATGGTGGTAAGGAATTTGTCAACTCAAACTTGCAAAATTATCTCTAAACACACGGTATAGAACATCAAATCAGTTGCCCCTACACTCCCGAACAAAATGGACTCGCCAAAAGGAAACATTGCCATATTCTTGAAACTACAAAAACCTTACTTCATACAGCCCATCTTCCTTATCACCTATGGCTTGATACTCTTCTTACTGCAGTTTACCTATCAATCTAATGTCATCACCCACTATCTCCAATACATCACCATACAAGATCCTATACAACAAAGCTCCACATTATGATCATCTATGAATCTTTGGGTGCACATGCTATCCACTTCTCCCCTCCCAAGCTGGCCATAAACTCTCGCCAAAATCAACACAATGTGTTTTCATAGGCTATGCTCAATCATACAAAGGTTGCCACTTCAACATCACTACAAATAAGGTCTATACCTCTAGACATGTCTCTTTTGATGAAACTTGCTTCCCATTCTCCCACAAACCCATCATTATTGCTACAGCATCCGTGGATAACAACATAATCCCCAATCTACTTTTACCAACGTCCATATCACACACCAACATTAGGACAGCTACCTCACTACCTCTAACCCCAAAACCTCTTCTCAGCTTCCTGAAGCAATCTCACCTTCTCCACAAATTACCGCTAATGCCTCTCCACCACATTCAACCATTTCAGCCACCTAACACCTCCACTCATCCCATGGTTACCAGACTACAAACCGACAACCTCAAACCTTGACAAATCCTAAACCTTAATTCCCCACTCACCACCGATCCCAATACCTATGCAGAAGCATTAAAATATCCACATTGGCGCAATGGTATGGCCTCCAAATTTCTTGCGCTCCAACAACAAGGAACATGGCTTCTTGTCCCTCCACCCACGAACCAACCCATATTAGGATGCCGTTGGACATTCAAAACAAAAAGAAATACTAATGGCTCCATAGCTCGCTACAAAGCAAGGCTGGTGGCACAAGGAAACCATCAAGAATTTGGTCTCAATTACACCGAGACATTTAGTCCTGTAGCCAAATTTTTGTCTATTAGAGCTCTTCTTACCATTACTGTCACGCATAGCTGGCACATGCATCAACTTGAGGTAGCGAACACATTTCTTCATGGCTCCCTTTTGGACACTATTTACATGAAACAACCCCGTGGGTTCGAAGACAACACCTTTCCTCATCATGTTTGCCTTCTTCAAAAATCCCTCTATGGTCTAAAATAGGATCCGAGACATTGGTTTCACACTTTTTCTATGCATCTTCTTTCCTTAGGCTTCAATAAAAGCAAGGCTGATACAACTCTCTTTGTCTTCAAACAAAACTCCTTGCAAGCCTATCTTCTTATCTATGTGGATGACATATATATTACTTATAGGAAATGACCCATCACTCCTTCACAAAATAATCTCATCTTTAGGCCAATCATTTTCTATCAAACACCTTGGGCAACCTAACACATATATTTCTCGGCATTCAGATTCTTTCTCACAACAACAGACTTCATCTGTCTCAAACATCATATGCCACCTCCATTCTTCAACAAATGGGCATGGATACATGCAATCCACTTGCCAATCCATCTGTCACTAAAATTCTTCAAGATCCTCCTATAGACCTCTCTCTACAATCCCACAACATATCGCCACATTATAAGCTCACTATGATATCTAACTATCACTCGCACAGGCATATCATTCGTTGTTAACACATTATGCCAACATATGCATGCTCCCTCATCCTCTCACTATCATCTCCTAAAAAGACTTCTTCATTACCTGAAAGGTACTATTCACTTTGGTCTTCCTATCTCTTCCTCTTCTCTCCAACTCACGGCTTACTCTGACACTGACTGGGTGGCTGACCTTAAAACAAGACGATCCACCTCCGGCTATTGCTGTTTTCTTGGTGATAATCTCATTTCTTAGACTGTAAAGAAACAACAAATTGTGGCATGTTCCTCTACAGAAGCAGAATACCGCTCTTTGGCTCGGTTACAGCTGATGTCATTTGGCTTCATTGACTTCTTGCTGAATTCAATCAACCTCAATAACACCCCACGATCATACATTATGATAACACATCTTCTATCGTACTTGCAAAAAATCCTGTG